TACTAGTAAGGCACTTGTTACTAGTAGCGATGCCCCTTGTTACTAGTTGCTTTTTGTTACTAGTAGTAATGCCAGGAGCTACGTTCGTAGCGTCCTTGCTAGTAGCGATGCCAGGAGCTGCATGCCCTTGGTGTTGATCGACATTGTCCATACATTTCCAGCTTTGACCCTAACAGGAACAGGTGCCTTACTAGTAGTAACAAAAAGCTAGTAATATATTTCCAGCTTTGACCCTAACAGGAACAGGTGCCTTACTAGTAGTAACAAAAAGCTAGTAGAAACAAGTGCCACGCTATTAGAGACAAGTGCATCGCTACTACCTTTAATTCTAATAGCTGTTTGTTACCTGTGAGTGGAGACCGGTCAAGACCACAGCTCTTCGCCCGACCGCCTCCGGCCGACGGCTTCTCCCAGGGACACCACATGCGCTCCAAGGAAGAGCACGATGTTGGGATGCCGCAGCCGGCGAAGTGTTCGAAGCTCGTTCAGGAGCGGCAAACTGAGCCGTTTGCAGTTCCGGGCCGGTGGTGGAAAAAGTGAGAAGTGTTGCAGTAAGATCGGGTCTCATACATTGCATATGGTTCCCGCTTGCTCTCATGCATTCTTTAGTCTGGTTTCACAAAACTGATCCCATTCCCTTTGCAAACCAGCATGCCCTGACTAAGAGTGAGGGGATTCTTCAAGGGAGGTGCTAACAATAGGTTTCACGCGGTGAAGCGTTTTCCAAATGAAGGGAAGCCGAAACCCTCCTTTACAGAATACTCAGAGATTTGTATGCAGCCTGAGGGTGTGAAAACCCTGAGGGTTCGGATTTCCTGGCCACTGATATTCAGTGACTTCAAAACACGTGAGTACATGTTGCATGATAAACTCATAATTGTTGCAGAAACGGAGCTCCCTGTACAAAACTGTTCTATATGCGCTCATGCCACCCACTTAAACTACAGGATTTCTTTGAGGCCATCAACCCTCACGCCTTCTCTGGTGGTTGGAGAATTTATGTGCAGGTTCGATAGGGGTCCCCACTATATAAATGGAACAAAACACGTCATGGTAACTTCAATGAAGTGTTTGCTTCTCCTTGAAAAATGGATTGAGATGTTCGATCTGTTCTTTATCCATTGCTTGTCATCTCAATAGATACCCTACAATTTTTGCTCTGGGATCCTAAGAGTACCCAAAGCACCACCAGTGGTATTTGGATCTGTCACGATCTACCCATGTAGCCAGCAGTCATCCACCCCTATTTTTCGATCTACTTTGTACTATTCAGCCAAGAGGCTGCTCCTTTTTCTCCGCCTTTGGCATCTTGATGGCCTCACCCACCGAGCGATCGAGTGATCCATCGCTAGCATGTGAAGGCTCGATGCTGGTCAAAAAAATATGGAAAAACTTTTACTGTCTAAATGGATTCAGTTTAAGGTCAGCAGTTCGCCAAACACATGGAAGCACTGGATCTGGGCGCCAGCAACTGTATAGGGCCCTCAATTGCTACACTTCAGGGATCGTCGGAGCCAGGCTCCGGCGTTGACACATCAAGGCTTCGCGGAAACCAAACTCTTCTTCAAGAAAAACCGTGGAAAAAATTTTTTTCAAACGATTTTTGCGCTTCGGTCCCCAGTCAACCTCAGTCACCCCTGCCGGTGACTGAATACGAGCGGGCTAGAAACCACATCAGGGGCTAGAAACCACATCATCCCCATGGCACACCGTTTTCACCAACCCCACATCACAGGAGCAAATCCCACATCATGGCACATCTGCTTCAAAGCTTTGCCGGAAGTGTGCTAAGTCCACAACAAGAACTATGGGTTGCTTGCGTTTTGCCTTCTCATCCGCGTTTGTTTGCTTACCTTTGCTGTAAAGAACATCCTTCCGCTTGGCACAACTGGGTATGTGAACACGATCTCTGCAACTCACTTCTTGCTCGGTGGGCCCATTTAAACCGAAGAGGCGCTTGGTGGGCCACATATGCGCTTGCTTACAGAGGCACTGGGGGCTGCGAAAGCATTTTCACCAAGTCATTGCATGTGTTGGGTGAGATAAAGGGCGAGATGTGGGCGAGGTACTGGGCGAGATGAAGAAATTTGCCCAGAAGACCCAGGCCCTTTCTCCCAAATGGGACAGGTCCTTGCAATGCAGCTGTGGCAAGCAAATCGCACTATAGGACACCACGCCATTATACACTTGTTTCCGGATGCGGCGCCACTTTTCGTGCAGCAGGCCTTCCAAGCATAAAACATGTTTCCAACACCCGGTCTGCAATCAGCATCAGCAGCATCAGCAAGCCAACAGCCGGCAGAAGACCAGCTGTGCCCCAAGACCGTTGCAAGTGTCGTATGGACCTCTCTGCCCAGACCCGAAAGAGACAGGGCTTTCATCCAGGGAAAGAACATGGCAACTCAGTGAAGAAGAGCAGTTGCAGTTGCAGTTGCAGCAGCAGCAGCAGCAACAGCAGCGACCGCACAGCAAAGCAACAGCAGCATCCACAGCGGCAGTCACAGCACCCGCCGCTGCCGATCCTGACCCAAAACCCTCCATGCAAATGCACGACTTTCTGTCCCAACATAGGTTGGGAAGCGCAAACTCGGAGCTTCAAGGAATAACTTTGATGCAATCGTCAGTCATGTTCCAAACACCAGTCACCAAGAAATAAGCCATAAACAAGATGCCTGACAAACAAATCACCAAACAACAACCACCTCCACTCCTAGACACAAAACTGCATGGGAACACAGCTTCGCAACGACTTCTCAAAAACACTAGTCACAATGGAGTGAAACCAAACACATGAATCGCAACAACCTTAGCACTTGGGAGTACATAGTAGTCACAACACACGGCCACACAGCCTCCTCCTTTCAAAAAGCGAGGGCTGGGGGCTGGAGAGACAGAAAGTGAGATCAGGATTCGAGCGGAGCCTTACAACACACGATGTTAAAATCTTCACAGACTGCTCCCCTCCCTCTTCCGCTTGGAGTCTCCATGAATCCATTGTGGAACCTCTCAAAAAGGCTTGTATAGCTATTCCCTAGCTTGCCCCACTGGTACACTGACCTCACAGAAGTTGCAGTGTGGACGCATCAAAGCTAGTGTGCCACGCAGATCTGGGATCAATCAAATGCAGAAGTACGTTGCTCATCTCTTCTTACTTGCACTGTTTTGATGGCTTCCCCCAATGGCACACCGGTATACCCGGTGACCTCCGAACCCGTCCACGCGTCGACCCCACAGCGTCCTCGCTCCCCTTCGTCCGATTGCCAAAGGACCACGGAGGCGCCGTAGAAGGTGCCGCGCAGGACAGTGCCGAAGGTACCACTGCCTCTCTCTCCCCCAGCCCTCCGCTACTCTGGCAGGCACGCAAGAGGGAGTCGATCTGACAGGGTCCGGTGCTTTTTTCAGGAAATAACCATGGGAATAAACGGATCTATGTACCAGGACCTTGTTGCGGTGATGATGTTTGTTCATCGGTGGATATGAATCAATGGTCCATCATGTTCGTCTCAACACTCAGTCGGGTCATGTCAGATCCAACCCACGCCTAGCACGCTGTCCCCGAGCAAACCTCAGGATTGAAACGAAAGGCTTCACGCAGAGCAAAACATGAAGGGAAGGTCTAAAGCCATCTGGATGCTTTAAGCATAATTTGACTTGTCGCCACGTCTATTCCAGTCCAACGCATATCCCGTCTGCCTATTGCCTGCGGGGAAAAAAAACGTTCCGCATACTGCAGCGCTCTCCGCACTCAAGACAAGCAACAAAGCTGGTGAGGCTCTACTATCCAATGCTCTCTCCGCCCCAGCTCCACCAGCTCACTGAAGCTTTTGCGGCCACCTGAACGAGCCATGAAGGCACCGATCCACATGCTGAAAACACTCTCCGATCGACGGATGGCAAGAGTAAGAGGTTTTTCTGGAACAAGAATTACAGGTCCGGAGACCATAATGGCAAATTATTCAATATACGAATCAATACAGTCAATCACCATCAGCTTCCCAAATTAGCCCCTCGCCGCTTTTTTCCTTGCAAAAGTCTCGACTTGGTTGATTTGGGAGGAAAGTCCTCATCCCGTCGAGCAAAAAGCGCGGATCGCACACGTGGTTCATGCGCCCATGTTGGTTCAGAATCCTTTCATTTTGAGCAGGATTCGTGTGCAAGACCCACCCCAAACATTCGGGGAATCTCGGGAAGTACCGAGAAATGCGTGGTCTCTCGGTTGTCTCGGCACGTTGCTCAAGGTGAAGGGTTGAGACTCAGTCGAACCTGACTTATATAATCAGTCCTCCAAGATCCGCAAGTACGTGTTTTATGATGCTTTATGTGGGCTCGGCGGACGAAGGAGGGTACCGGAGCCTGCCCGGGTTGAGCAGCTGCATTTCACTCACCACCCGCTGCAGGGTTGAGCACTTTCACTGTCCCACCTCCCGCCCAAGGTGCCTTCGGTCTCGACGGTGGGCGGCTGTATATCGAAGACACTACTGCTGTGGTTGTCTCCAATTCCTGCGGACCATTCGACGGCATTCGATGGTGTTTCGACCACGCTTCCATCCACTTTTCCCATCGACTACCAGCAGACTGGAGTGGATAGACTTTCTAATATACATTGAACAGACCAGCATGGATTGGATGCAGGGCTCTTGACCCACACAAGCACCAAAACACCCCAGGGTGGTTCTCATCGAGCTCTCCATGACATGTCTCCAAGACCGACTTCTCCGGAGCTTCTGAGAGGAGCCCCTGGTGGAATACTTCGGCACTCTGCATCGCAGGACACGTCGCGGCGCCAAAAAAGCCTGCGCCTATGAGCTTCTGTTGGTCTCGCGCAGCTGAGATGACGCTGGCATCTGCAGAGCCCCCCTCGTCCTGGAGGTGCAGTTGTTGAGCTACTCAGCAGCTTTGGGTTTTGGTTGGGTGTGTTTGTACCAGACCAAACACGTGCCAATAACAAACACGTGCCTCACCTCCTCCACGTCGTGTTACACCTGCCAAGTCTAACAAACACATGCCAAAAACCTCCTCCGCGCTCGTTTCGGCCGAGTCTCACTGGGCATCAAGCTGTTGCTGGCGCCGCTGTTCCGCCGCCCGCCAGGGCTCCGCCCAGATGCACGCTCGGGTGCAGGTTCCGGCCCCTGGGCTAGGGAAAACATGGGAACACCTTTCTGGACTTGGAATTCCTTCAATTGGAAAAAAACAAAAAACATATGGCTGTGGACAAAAAAAAGCATATGGCTGTGGACAATAAAGCAATTTTTTCAAAACTGGGTTTCAATTTTCATCCAACTCCTTCTTTCCGGTCCTGAACGCATGAACTCCTTGCCGGTCCTTGACCCTTTGCCCCAATTCTCACCAAGTCCAATCATCTTGGCACTCCAGTCTGCTTCGCAAATCCACACCCAAGCGGCCGCCCCCTTCATCCCTTCCACCCCAGCGGCCGAATTCCGGCTGCGCGCGCTGGCCACCGCGCCGACCGGTGGACCCGCCGGCCACGGCTCGGAGGAGATGCCGACCTCGACTGAGGCCGTGGAGGGTGTGCCATGGATGACGTGCGACGGACGAGGTCCCGAGCTGGTCAAAAAGAGATGCTCGAAATAGTAGTCTATACGTTCAGAGGCATCCGTTATGGCCAGCTACAAGTCATATGATTATGAGATATTATGAGTCATTATCTAATACTGACTATTGTTATACTAATGATAATATTATATAACAAAGTTTTATAGCAGCTATTAACCGTGCCATTCACCCGCCACTTTTCATGAGAATATGCCAAAAGAAGGACTGAGGGTCGAAAACAAAACTATATGCATGTCCTACAGGTCAAAGACCTCATTTTACTGCAGTTCGTCATCTAAAAGCACTACTCAAAGAGGGAATCGGCCAGGTTTTACTGCGTCTTTGGATGTAGGGTGCGTATATGTTCGATACTTCAGGAGGAGTTGGTTTCTTCCTACCGGGTCTTCTAACATCCATGTGGATCAGCCGCGGTCGAATTAATTAAGGTCCATCTCACGTGCTTTGGAGGGAGCAGATTCGATGGGAAAGTTTGATTTGGAACCTTCAAGAAGTAAGAAGAACCTTTGTCCTAGTGGTGTAGATCTGGATGTCTATGTCCCCATCCACTCAAAAGAAAAAGCAACCTACGCATTACTTTGACCCGGTCCATCAACAATAATAGAAATCAACCACCCGGTCAGCCGTGTTCGTCGGGGGCTTCGCCCTGTTCGTGCTCTGTTCGCTTGGCCGGTGACCACATAGCACGGCCACTCCGTCTCGGCATCGCAGCAACACCTGCAGTGGGCGGTGGCCCTAAGAGAGTAGAAAACCCAAACGAAGAGAAGCGCACCAGGAGAACCTGGTGGTTGCCCTATACTGTGACATCATGTGTGTTCTACTTATATAGATATCATATTCTTTAGATGTTTATCAATGTTTATCTGAATTAGTTTAGCTATATACTTGAGTTACTTGACGAAGATCTTTGACATCTAAAGCCACTGGGCACTCTCATCTAGCCACACGAACTAAACCTGCATTACCTACAATTGACATTCATTGACTTAGGGTCCTGCCCTTGCAGGTGTCTTGGTTCACACGGTTTCGGCCGACGCCGAGACGTCGGACGTCGGACGTCTGACGGGGTGGCCAAGCGAGCCGAGCCTGGCATCGTCGTCTCGATCCTTCAGCTTGGAGTTGGATCTTCCTCGGAAAAAAACGCGCGTGGCGTCCGTGGATGGATCCATGGTCAGGATCGGCACAGGATCGGCATGGGGGGGTGATCTAGATATATATCGGGATTAGGGGGCTCGGTTGCTTGCCAGGATGTGAATGGATTTTTTTGAAATTCTGCATGCAAGCTTGAAAAGAAATTGCTTGATATGTGGTGGGGCAACATTGTGACCTCATAGACTCCCTTCAAGCAGGGGCAGTCGAATTGGTCTTGCTGTCACGTTTTAAGGTCTTGCGGTAGCGATGATGGCACACATTAACTCACAATACTTTCGACACCTTCTGTCTTATGGGTCACTGGATGTCCCACTTCTTCGCCTTCGACCGACCTGTCGATCCAACTCGCCTCTTCGTCCAAAACATCCAGCGAGTCCAAAAACCGGATCTGAAACGCTTCGATGGCGATATGGCAGCATAGCAATTGCAGCCACACGAAGCTGGTGCGAAGCTGGTGCGAAGATTGAAACAGTTTCTGAATGTTTCTGATTTGAGGATGATTCAGGAACCTCACACCTGAGGTCACCTGACTTTTTTTTTTTTTTTTCCGGCCAAAAGCTCCTCCTCTTCCTCCTCCTCCTTTTCGATCGCCGAGTGGCGCACCGATCCGCGTGGGTCATGACCGCGCGAGCGCAGGACCACCAGCTCCACGGGCTGCTCCTCTTGGCCTGCTGCGTGCGGATGTGCAGAAAGTGTGGAATGGAAGGGACACGCAGGGGAGCCTTAGCCTTAGCCTAGGTGATCAACAAAATTAGGGATGGTTTAACGGTTTCTCCAAGTTGCAGTACGTGGAATGGCATGAGACAGATCTGTTTCTGCCAGAAGTCACCCCCGACCTGCAGCGGTCCGCATGGTCGTCCGCGTCCGCGCGGTGCCGCTGCCGGAAAACTCGGCCGCTTGGAACGCCTCGGTGCCGAAGATGGACGAAGACTACGGAGGGGATTTGGGAGCCGTAGCTGATGCGAAATCGGGATTAGCGGATGCACCAGGGTGTTAAGCTACCGTATAGTTCTTTCAGAGTGATCATGTCACTTGGACCTGCCGGCCAAAACACCATTGATTTCTGAAGAGTTATGGATTGTTTGGTGGATTTCAAGTGCTCCTTCTTTTGTTCTCCTATCTCAACAAGGTCAAGACAGGAAAAGCCACGCGTCTCAGACCGTCTTCCAACGGACTTGCTCGTCCAACAGCATCCGGTGCAGCTCGCCACTCACACCGGAGGAGAGTACCAAAGCCAAACTGCTAGCCGGCCGCTCACCAACTGAAAAGATACCCCAGATTCAGGTAGGGAAAACACTTTTGCGTGAAACCTGTGTCAAGCTAACGGGTCCATGGTGACCATGGAATGTGCTCGTGGTCACGAACTGGGCACCTGCATGGGAGTGGGCAGCCGTCACAAGCTTTACCCTCCGGCACTGGCGGGAGTAATGTTCACATCAAACTCACCGCCTGGAAGACAAGAAGTAAATGAAGTAAAGCACTGGTCTTCATCTCCTGGGTGTTTGGATCATTTCATACTTGTCGTCGACTTGTCGTCTCAACAAGCTCTGGTCACCCATCACCGCCCAATCACCCTATTTTTCTGGCTCCGCTCCCTGGTGCATCCGCGGTCCCAAGAACACCTCCCGCCTCTCGCAGTCCGGTGGTGGCTGCAGGGTCATCCTTGAAGCCCAGCAGAAGGTCAAGGACCTGCACGTCCCGGGTCCCGGCAGAGCCCCGCCCCGAGCTCTCTGTGAAACCCGAGGGTTTTCTTCTCGGCCTGCAAGCCTCGCTGGCGTGAACAGGATATTTAAACAAGGTGCACCCTAACACTGAAGAACCAGCTTTGGTCTATGAAGATTCAAGTTCGAAGAGCTGCTCCAATGTCATGAGCATCTTCGAATCTCAATGATTGGCTGGAGATCACGAATAGCGATACGGGCGACATGTTTCAACAACCTTCCAACGGATCGATGATGGTGGTTGGTAGCTAAGACATCAGTGATAGGTCGAGTATTTAGGTAAATCACCAGCCCAGGAAATGGAGGCTTGGCCCTGTGATGCTGTTAAGGCAAAGTGAGTGAATATGGTCGAGAACAATGAACGAAAAAATGCGCTCGCCAACTGTGAATCCATGGTTTTTTGGCACCAAGACGTCCTGAGAGGGAAGCTCATCCACTCCACAACATCCTGCAATGGTGTTTTTGGAGAAAACAACTGGTGGAGTGCTTGTTCACGGATGCGTTCAGCCGGCTGTCATGTGGGCCTTGAAGTACTACACGGCATACACCCAGCACACAGGCATCTATCTTCAGACTCTATGACATCTATGTCTGTCTTCAAGATCTTCATGAGTGTGGTGAAGGCACCTCTTCCCACAAAAAAACTTCGTTTCACTTCGCATCCTCCCCCCAACCCGGACAAGGTCTCTGGGAGGTGCTCCCACCGCCCCACTGCTGGCCGGGCCACTCCGGCGTGCAGCGCGGAGTGCCGCGACTTCCGGAGTTTCAGATCCTTCACGGAGCGTCGCACGTGGAAGTCCTGGTCCTGACGGCGGCCCGCCCGCGCGGACGTCCCCACACGACGCGAACAACGACGAAAGGCGAGGCGTGACGACGACCGAGAGGGTGAAAACACCTCTCGGGCCCGGTGTTCCGAGTCTCATGCTTCCGGGTGGACGGGTAGGCTGGCTTTTGGGGGGGTGGCGGGTGGGTAGGGCACCCTTAAAGCCACAAACATGATATTTGGGGGGTTCACTTGTATATTGTGTATTTGGTATTTTCATTGTTTGGTTGTTTTTTAAACATATTGTTTAAAGTACAAAAAGGCGCCTGCTGAACAAGCAGGATGTGCTGAACAAGCGCTGCCTTTTTAACTTTAAACAATAGTCCTATGTATGTGTATTTCTTTGTACTTCGTGAGTATTACATGTGTTTGGGACAGAAGGCATGGCGGGATATATTTACAACACGCATTCAAAAATGCTTGCCTTTTAAGGGGGTAGGGCGGTCAAACAAATCATTTGCACAGGTGAGTTTTGAAGATACCAGATGTCAAATATATTAAAGGAATAAAGGCACCTGCTCAATAAGCAGGTCGTGCTGCACAAACACTGCCTTTTAAACTTGAAATTTGTCTGCTGAAAACGTTTGGAAGGTATGCTCCAAGAATGGTTAGGGCAAAGCAGAACTTAATTTCAATTTTTGAATCTTAGGCATTATGAAACTTGGAAGATACCACATGCAAAAACTATTCGAGGAAAACAGGTTTGGAGGGTAAACAAGCAGGGCAGGCTATTGTTGCAGCAAAGCAAGCAGGGCACGCCAAGCTGGACAGTCACATCCTCAGATCTTTCACATATCAGCACAAACCTTATGTCCGGTCTTTAGCAAGAGAGGCCTTTGTTGGCCATGGCCACTAGGGCCCACAATGCAAAAAAAATCACTGCGCATTGACTGCACATGCCTTACTTCAGTTCTTTACCAAGAGGTTTCTTTCACTGCAGTGTGCACTGCACTTGTTTTGGAAGGCAGGACCCGTGTAATCAGGCACCTGGACATGGACTTCAACATCGACTGCTCAAACCTTACAGTTCAAATTTGGTAAGCCGACAAACAAACAGTTTTGTAAGCAAACCAAAACAAAAAAACAAACAGACAAACAGACAAACAAACAAACAAAAATATAAAAATGACAATTTTTCGACTTAGCTGTGAGCTCGATTGTATCTACATATGCAAAAGCAAAAATTCACATTTTCACTGCAATGCGCATTTGTTTTGAAAGCCAAGCACTGGCCAGCAGGAATCAGGCACGCAGACATGGACTTCAACATCAGCTGCACAAACCTTACTGTTCAAACCTGGTAAGCCGACAAACAAACAGTTTAGGAAACAAACCAACACAAACAAGCATTTAATAAATACAGTACTATGTTCAAATGAGTTGTGAGCCCTTGTATCTACATACATGGGCCACTCTAAGCCAAGGTCCATGAACGCCAGGTTCACAATGTGAAAGCCTGAGCTGGGTACTGTAGCAAGTTGCAGAGTGATGGTTCACAAGTTCACAGTTTAGAATGTTCACAAATCAGTTTGGGGGTTAGCATTGATTAACTGCATGTTCTAATGACTCTTAAGCTCATTTTTCCATAGACTCGTCATCAGCCCTTGTGGCTGGAGCTGGCCGCCACCTTTTGGGGCTTGCCACTGCTGGAACTGCTAGTGCTGCTGCTGCTGCTGCTAGGCAGTGCCCTCTTCTTTGCACGTGCCTTTGCCTGCAAAGTACAGACATGGATTGAAGCAGGAAAACAACATTAAGTTTTACCATAAGCCTCATTGACTGCTTCTTGAAGTCCTCCAAGACATTGTTTTTGTAGAGTTCCTTGTCCACTGCGGCTCTCAACCTTGTCCACATCACAAGGCAACACGTGACCCAACAAACTATATGCTGCTTCTTGGTGTCATTGTTAGGCCACCATTGCTGCTGAGTGAGGAGCTGTTTCTGCAAAGTGCTGTTGTCCCGCCGTAATGACATATTCCTGAAGTGCAAGAGTAAACAACATTGCAACCTTGGCAATAATACCGGGTTCTTCAAAAAACTGCCATCAAGTCAGGATGAATAGAATTCTTGAACACCCCTTGTCCCCCCAGCTCAATGTTGCTGATTGGTCTCCTGACATGTACCGACCTGAATGGCTGTTTTTCTGAAGGCCTGACCCGACAACATTGCAGTAGGGGTGTAAGGGGTTGAGACGGTGACGTGGAACGTTTCTGGCGATGGCTGTTTTTTTGAAGAACCCGGACCAACAAGAAGGGAGACAAGAAGGGAGACAAGACGGACACAGTGACCAACAAGATTATAGCAATGGCCTGAGAAGCCCAGCGTGGCACACCAAGTTTTCTTTGGCTATCCCACCCTGCAAATCCGCGTTCATGGCCTGACACCAAGCTGCCGCAGGGATGTCATTCTGCTGCCAAATTCTTTGCGCATCTGAGCGCATCCTGCAACACCTGCCATCGTGTCTTTGGTCTGGAAGCTAATGAAATCCTCCTTCCAACTCTTCTCAACAATGGCCTGCAAACCGTCCCAGTTGTGGAAACAGAACTCAACCATCATGGGTCCTCCACATCTCTTAGCAAAGGCCATGAGACGCTCACCACTTTCAGGCCCAGGTTGAATGTTTTGTTCGACAATGACAGGCCACATGTCTGCCTCGCGGCAACGCTTGTCTCTGGCCGCTGCAGCCTCTCACGTTCCCGGAGCTTGGCCAGGGCTTTGCTGGTCACCGGGGCTCGGCTGGCTTCTGAAAGCGGAGGATGCGCTGCGTCGTTTGCCGCCCAACCAGGCGTGTGGATCCAACTCATCCATAGGTTTCTTCAGGGAAGGCAAATAGCAGTATGCCACACAAGAGGCGTACCCATCATGACTGCATGACCAATGAGACGCCAAGCCATTCGCCCGGAGTAGCTCCCGCTTCAGCGGCATAAACCTGAAGCACCTGTCCGCCAGCACGGCAACATGGTAGAGGATCTCCCCACTGTTACGCCTCTCCAGAAACACAGACAGAAACAAGCACCAATTTGCGAAAAAGACGTAGAGAGGTGGCCCTTAGCATCCACCTTTGTGGGTTGTCACAGGTTGCGATGACAGGTTCCAAACACGGCAACATTAGAGATTGCGAAAGAGACGAGGAGAGGTGGCCGGGAGTGAACAACATTGTAATTGTAGCCTTGCAAATAATGGTAGTACTCTAGTCCAATTCTTTATTTTAGGGCCAAGAAACTTCATCTGAAGATGTTGGGTGTAGTTCTGCCATTCCTTTGTCCTGAGCGGGAAAGGGGTTCAACACAGCAATTGATAAACCAAAAAGGCAACACCGACCCAACTAACAATATGCTCTAAACAAACCATGATGTTGCAAACTCGCTGCTGTGTTTGAGCAAACATTCCTTACCAGTACCAAGCATCTTCTGGTCAACCTTGGCTCCATAGGCTTGCCAGTTTGCATTCCTCAGACGTAGTCACTAGACATCAACGCTTGTATGGACAAGAAAATTGCTATTCTCATGTTTTAATTAGGCTTCAGGTTTGCGAGCATTGTAGCAAATGAAGACTGCAGTCAAAGGTCAGGTCTCCAACTTCCTTCTTCCTCAGCAAGGCATGAACTTCCAGTCAAAGCACAATAAAACAGGATGTAGGAGGTTACTTCAACACCATATGATAGCTTTGCACATCACAACAAGTAGGATTCCACAACATCCAGTAGGTTACTACAAAAGAAGCAAACACATCATCTTCAGATGGGCCAAATACACATGTGGAAACTTTGAGAATTTATTGTTCAATCAAAGATTCGATTCTTCCGCTTCTTTGACCGCTTCTTGCGGCGCTGCTTTGACCTGCCTGTCCTTCTCCCTTTGCTTCTCACGGTTCTTTCGCCTTTTCAGCTGCTTGATCTTGTTCGCCTGGTCATGCCCCATTGCAGGAGATTGCGATGGACTTCCGTCTTGCGTTTGTGCTTGTGTGGGCTTGAAAGTTGTGCTTGTTCATGCTGGTTTGTGCATCCCAATGAACTATAGTGGGTTCCATTGACTTTGCCTTTGCTGCATTCACATGCGTATGTGCATGTCAAGTCTGAATGTAACATGTCTTGAGTCTGATCTACTTCCAAGCCTGCATTTTGGCATCTCAATCATTGTCATGCACGTCAGTCAAACTCTTTGTGGAAAGTTGCTCAGGCTTTGGAGCTGTGGGCTTTGGGCACATTGAAGTGTTCCTTCAGGAGCCAGCAAAACGACCTTGACATCACTTCCAGTTCCTTCTTCCAACCATCTACAGCTCACTAACATGGAACTGCAAGAAACTAGAGGAACCAATGATGCTTTTGAGCCCAGCAACTACATGTTATCCCCTAAACCAATGCAAAGGTGTGTATGGCCCCCCCGAAAAACCTCAAGTTGGACATAGAATCGAATGCGCTCCCAACTTGAGATTGTGAGTGAACCAATATTCTTATGGTTTAGGTGAGCCACCGGTGAAGCACAGAACCATTGTGGCTTGAGACGGGGAGACAAAGCCATAGCCATAGTGACTTGAATTGCATCGGGTGACAAACAACCACAATTTGCTCACTTCCACAGCTCCTTTGAGAACAGTGAGTGACAAAAGGACACCCAAACCATTCCCCAAATCAACAATTCATAACAGTCACTGACAACAAAACAACCACAGCTTACTGGCTTCAATCCTGCTTTGCCTGCTTTAGCTTTGCGCCATGCCACGCACTGGTGTTCCATGGGCCAAGAAGTATGAAATTCCCAGCAACAAACAACGAGTTTCTTGGCTCATGTATTTAGCAGTTCTTCCATGAATAGGTTTGTTGTCAATTTAGCTGCCTTTTCAATACATTCAATTTCTGGTCAGAAACATAGACAGCCAAGCTCTGTGGCCACTGAGGCTGATGCAAGAAAGGCTGCGAAGACATTGACTGGCCACTGGGATTACAAAGCCGAGGAGGTCCGTCTTTGTGAACAGTTTCTGATGGGGCGGGAAACTTGGCAAAACGTGTTTTGTGTTTTTGGCTTTGTTATGTGTGTTGTCTAGTATGACCAAAGTATACTAAAGTGTGCTGTGACAACTTTCTTAATTGATTTTGCTAACCTGTATCTGAGGAGGATGATCTTGAGAAATGGTATCATGATTGATCTTGGCCTTGACTTAGTATTGGTTTTCAGATTCCCCCTTAGCTTCTAGTTGCTTTTCTTGCAACTTTGGCAAACCTGTGCGTGGCTTTGATGCAACGATCTGAGGAACCATGGAATGATCCAACAGTCGACGATCATGAGCCTTGGGCCCTCTCACATACCTTCTAATTTGTTTATTTTCTGTTGAATGGATTGTCTTTGACCAAGAAGTTGTTTACATTGTTGTGCAAGGGTCATGCAACCCAGGATCCTCAAGCTGCGGCTGGTGACAATGGCGATGGTGCTTTCGAGCAGGAGATGGAGGACCCTTGATTGTCAGTGGCCGTGGGTGATGGGTCATGTAATGTAATATCAAGATGTTGTTTACAAAGCCTGCCCTGCTTGTATACCCTCCAAGCCTTTATTACTCGAATAGTTTTTGCATGTGGTATCTTCCAAGTTAAACCCGCCTAAGATGCAAAATGTGAAATTAAGTTCTGTTTTGCCCTAACCATTCTTGGAGTATACCCTCCAAAAGTTTTCAGCAAACAAAATGAAATTGAAGATACCAACTGTCAAATATATTAAAGGAATACAGGCACCTGCTCAATAAGCAGGAGGTGCTGCACAAACACTGCCTTTTAAACTTGAAAACGTTCAGAAAGTTTTCACGTTTAAAAGGCAGTGTTTGTGCAGCACGTCCTGCTTATTGAGCAGGTGCCTGTATTCCTTTAATATATTTGACAGTTGGTATCTTCAAAAATCACCTGTGCAAATGATGTGTTTGACAGCCCTACCCCCCTTAAAAGGCCACCATTTTTGAATGCATGTTGTAAATATATCCTGCCATGCCTTCTGTCCCAAAAACATATACTACCCACAAAGTAACAAGTAAACAAAAAAACATACATACGACTATTGTTTAAAGTAAAAAAGGCAGCGCTTGTTCAGCACATCCTGCTTGTTCAGCAGGCGCATTTGTTACTTTAAACAATATGTTATTTAAAACAAACAAACAATGAAAAACCCAAATACAAATGAAAACCCTAAATGTCACGGGACTGGCTTCTTATCACCCTCTTCGAGGTGGCGAGATCTGGGTCCAAGAAAACAGATCAGCTAGGTGCCGGCGGCCAGATTGAGAATTTGTTGCTTCTGGTCTTATTCTGAGTATACCTTGTCACCATGTTCTTCAATTGACACAGACCTAATGGATCACCTTCTTCACCACGTGGCACCTGTGTTGTGCATGTTCGATTCCCTTTTGATGGTCACAGTGAATCAGGTGCCCGGTCCCCAATCTTCTCGTGCCACGCTGAGACCCTCGTGACCCCCCAAAATGCTGTGTGAATCTCTTTGCACGAGTAGAACATGCACGACACGTCCCAGAAACGTCTCAGACAGCTTCATAAAGGCAAACATGCTCGGTTGAAATGGTTGCAGAGGCAAGGGTGGGGAACACCACTGGTTAAGAATCGTTAAGCTATGTAAATATCTGTGATTCTTTGTGTATGTTGTGGCCTCTGCTAACAAAGAAAACATGAAAAAGAACACGAGCTAGGTCCAGCTAGGTATATGATCTGCTTACCACAACAGCTATGCCAAGCTGCCAGCAGAACCCACGAACTGAAGGCCTGGAGACGAAGAGAACGCCGGTGAAGTGGCGAAATCGATGGAGACGAAGACACACAAAGAGGGCGGGCTCGCACATGGCTCGCACATGGTAAGGCCTTATAAGGATATCACCCCAACTGAACGACCCAAGCCTGGCTTGCACTGAAGACGTGCTCCACTACCAATCCTATGCTCCTTCCGGTCCTCGGTTTGATCCCCTCGAGATCTGAAGAAAAAGAATCAGACCGGAACATGTCGGCGCGGAGGAAACGGCGCCACCGTGTCGGTCGAACCACCCTCGGTGTTCTATCGGGACGCCGCGCTCGGAACCGCCTCGGTGAGGACTTTGTCCAACAACTCCTGCAAGCTTTGCTCCTTGGCCTCTGACCTGGGGCCCCCGCCAGCGCTTCAGCGAACGCGGTTGCGCCGCGGCGCACGCGGCGAACGCGCAGTGAAAAACGCGAGAGAAGACTGGATCAAGCCCAGCTGCTGGGTGGAGGGACATCAGAGGATCCGGTAAAAGGTGAAGATCGAAAACATGACACGGGGCTGGAAAATGACCTCTTCAATTCAATTCGTCCAGAGGACTTGGACAGGCTGGGTTCTTCATCCAGACAAGCTCGGCTTTTGGAGACCAGTCCTAAACAAACGTGATGGCGCGGAAGTGTTTCGCTAACCAAAAGAGTACCATCAAGCATTGTCCACTGTCCACTTTCCACGCTTTGAGCCCTGAAAGCGCGCCCTGAAGCAACCTCCTGAACGTGTGAAACTCATTCGTCTGTCTTCTTTCGCCGCGTGCCTGCGCATGCGGCGGGTGCCAAAGAAGGAGAGGATCAAACCATAGGCACTCAAGGACACCAGGAAGACCTGGTCGGCGGTCGTCGAAATGGCCGCGTTTTGATATGTTTTGCAATGGAGAAAAACACGCAAGATTCGCAGGGTCCAATTGTTGGTGTGGGGAGAGATTCTCTCAACTGGATGGTCTAAACTCATGTTCGCTGGTTATCTGTTGAGTGCACGTCTGTGGGGGCCGCCCTGGGACACCATGAAAGAAACTCCCGACTGGAGGACAAATTCATCCAGATGATATGGGAGATGCTGATGGATGCCACCTTTGCCCGGCTCAAAGAGAGGGCCACAAAGCCAGCTTCCCACGCAATGGTGTTCGCCCCACGAAATGGAATAAGCCAATCATGCAGATAGGCCACTGATTGTGTTCATGATGGCAGTGACCGATCCATGAGTGTCTGGTTCTCTTTCAGATCTTTCAGAGAGCAAATCACTCCTCTGGGGTCTTGGGATCAGTTTTCAGAGCCGATATGGGCTGATCGGCTAAGTAAACACATGTCCAGCCCCAGCTGCGACTGACGGCCAATCCATGCTGACGTTTCCTCAGTTCGCCGAAATGACACAAAGATACACAAAGATCTCAGTTTCCCGCTAGGTTACAATGACCCCAAAAAATTGAGTGGAACGAGTCCCCCAAGTGTCTTGGACACCGTGTCTGTCGTTTTGGAATCTTGTTGAAATCTAAAGGGACATTGAATCACGATAATTGTGGCAATACGGCATGCTTGCAACGGACGAATAAGCAGAAACGGGTGTTGTTGTGCTGCTTATTGCTGCTTTAACTCTATTTGTTTATTTGCTTATGTTGCCGCGGCTTGAAAGGGCAACGAAAAAGTGATATTAGAAAGCAGTTCAAGCACCAGGTGTTCTATTTTCAAGTTACGAATCTTTGTTCGTTCCGCAAACTGGACTTGCTGCAGCTCCGTGAGGTTCCGGTTCAAAAGAGCCGTCGTCGAACCAAGGATATGACTCACCAAAGGAGACCGTACCTAACCTATAATCATAATCTATCTGTCAATCTGTATTCTTGATCGGGTTTCTGAAGATTCTGTTGTTCTGTCATGAGAACGCCAAATCCGTTGGACAAAAGGAATTCGGTGGCATTTGCAATATGATTTAAGGACCATTAAAAGGTCCAAAGATGGTTGAAAGTCACAACCCTTCAAAAGAAGACCGTCTGCATGCTCAGTATTCTTGGTTGCAAGAAGGGGTTACCCAGTCGATTTAGCTGGGCGGAGGCCGGACATAAGACTTGCTTCCACCAACCCGAAATCCATCATGTTCACATCCGAAAACGCAGTTCTCGCCGAACACGGGCGCTCTCAAGCCGGCCCTGGGACTGAGCGACGTGACATTCACTCAGTATATTCCTTTACAAGCAAAGGCCTCCAGCCACCACTTGGCCACCATGAGGAACGCACCTTCACCAGCATCAAAAACAGCACCCTTCACCACATGAGGCCTCCACAACGATGCTAAGCTTGCGCTAAGTATCCATCCTGAGACAGACTGGCCGAGACTTGTAAGGCAGCATCGATCGCGATCGAGCTGGCCAGTTGCAGAAGCGCACCTGAGACCCCGCGGCGCGTGGCATGGCATGTTGAGGAGCGGCCATGGGTGATCCTCACCATGGATCATCTACCTGGAAATGACCATAGTAGACTTAGAAAGGCGAGGATCAGTGTTGATAGTGTTGCTGGTTCTTACATCTTTACACATGTATTGGATGCTTAAAACATCTTACACCAGAGAACCGTTCTAAAAATAGGTGGGTTTGGGGACTCTTGTGAAAGAAGCTGAGTGGAGTCTAACAGAACACCGTGGTTGGAAACCTCCAAGACCTACGGTGGCTTTCTTGGGGTGCAGGCCATCCGGGAACCTCTGCCTTCATCCAAACATATCCGAACTAAATACACTATAAACCATCTAAAACCACTCAAGACTTGAATATGCTTCCAGCGGCTGAGGCGGCCTGCTTGGCCAACCTCAGAGAGCCAATCTCAGGGTCATCCTCCCCTGACGAGTTGGGGCAGGGATCGTCGTGACGAGTTGGGCCGAGGCCGATTTGTGCCGCACCAATCGGAACAGGCGGAAGACGAGGCCCCTGCAGAACACCGCCCGGTGCATGTGGTTCTGGGTGTGTATAGATCTGCGGTTCTGGGTATAGATCTGCGGTGCCCTGACCCATGTTCACTTATGTTCACTTCACATCCCAGTGAGAAAGCTGTCGCATCTGGCTCAAAGTAACACCATAGAAGCCCTCACGCTTCAGTCGAGGCCCGAACATGAGGAGTGCACACGGTGTCAATGGTGTCTTCAACCAACGACCACCATGTAAGTCCCTTGAGGATATGATTTAAGCCTATCATATCCTGTCCTTCCCTTTGGACTGGAAGGATATACAAGGGATGTAAAAACTTTTCTTATGACCCTTGATTCATCAGCAATCATCCAGAACTTCTGAAACTTGTCTAAGGCTCTTGAGAAGCGCGAGCAGGCCAGTGGAATCAGCTTGAAATAGGCCGATTCCCTTGGTGTTTGAGTGGTCAATGTGTCAGGCATCTAAACAGCTCCACGCTGTGTCAAGCATCTGCTGAACCAACGTCGATCCTGTTCCCGCTTCAATGACTGAGACTACCAGGAAGGTGAACAATCCCTCATGAACGGCCATGGATTGGGGGATATGTATGGATATGTGGAGAGGTCCTTGGGTCTGGGGGAAAAGGGGTCACAGCAATCACTTACGACCCGCCCCTCACGGAGCATTCCGCCTGGCTGGGCAAAACAGCAAATCTGAACAGTTCACCAAAGAACTTGAGTTTGTATACTCATATCTGGACTAATTACAGTACTTTAAGATTTGGTTCTACCCTCTGACTCACCAACAGGGAAGTAGAGGTCCCCTCTGTTGGGTCCATTGTCCACTTCCATGTGGTGTGTTCATCAGAGTGGACACATTGTGTTCGGCAGTTGCAAAGCATCTGTTCACTGACATGGAAGTTCTTCGTGTTCACTCATTGGGTCTATCCTAATACCTGCAACAGTGGATGATGATGGTTAGGTTGCAGGCCTTGTTCAAAAATGATGATAATGGTTTACTGACCGTTACAGGTAAGAACGGACAGCCCCTATTCACTCACCATCGACGTCGAACTTCGTGGCTCCACCCATCGACCCGGACCCCGTCGCCGTTCTCACACGGGGCCCAGAACGAGAGCAAAACCGACTCAGTCTGGCAGCCCCAAGACGAACCGCGCCAGGGCACCAGGTGAAATATCGGGCACGGTCCAGGGGATCTTCCTGGGAGAGGGGCAGCATCATGAGCCTTGGACCGTCGCAGTTCAAGCATGGCGGTTTCGGACTCGTTTTCCGCGTTTGATCGAGGGCGTTGTTCCGCAAAAGTTTCAGCGCGCTTCCGGTGCTCGGCTTCACTAGAGTCTAGAGCAAGAAGACTCTAATTTTCACAGCGATAGGTGGAAGACCCGCACCAATCACACGAGATTTTGGGCCCACAAGTCCAGAAGTCACTGTCCGAATCGATGAGTGACTCCCGGTCTTGGATGATTCCTTTCCCTTTTCGTATCCAAAGTCTTCATCGCTATTAGCTTGGAGGCCATCACTAGTAGGTTGGAGGCCATCGCTACCAGTTAATTACTAGTTACTCCTCCAGGAGTTGGGGGGTTCCCTCCATCTGCCGCCGGGCAACGTCACGTTCATCGCCACGACCTGCCGTCATCCCGACGACCAGGAAGCGCGTGGAAATCCACGTGTTGGACACACCATGTGCATGGTAGATACGGTGCGATGGGCTGTACTAGCTTTCATGCAGGGTTTCACCAGGTTTCAACTCAGGGAATTGGAATCAACACATGGAAGATCTACCAGATATACTTAAAAAGATCTACCAATACTCGCGTGAAGTAGGTAACCACCTGTCTTCTCAACAGAGAGTCCCTTGAAGAGATATGCTGGGTCTTTGCGACTGTGACATCTTCCGCTTTTTGTTTGGGCAATACCCAGACTATCCATGTCTGGAATAGTTACCTGCATTTGGGTCATAAATGGTGTAAATGTATGTATGGCCATGGCATGAAATGGTGTGAATGTCCAAAGCGGCCGGACCTGTATGAGAAAGAAGACTTCCATCATGTCCTCGGCACACCACAACTTCATTGGTGTTAAATTGGTGTGCTTGTCAGAGAGTCTCAGTCAGAATGTTCAGCATCTGCTTAATTGTTCCATCGTGAACTCGGCTTGAACATCGTAGCTCCCAATTCGGTTGTCCATCGAAGTGGTCGACTGTGTCATGGAACTAGATGTCCCTTTCGGTCAATGTTTATTGACTTGTAGTTTCTCAGACACTCCATGCATGGTATATTTACATACATTGGAATGGTTTCAGGGATCAATCTACACTATAGGATACTATAGGCATATATCGCAGTCCCATGGAGTAGTCGTGTCTGGGGTAAAAGGTGTTCGCCGGGGTAGCGGGTCGACTAACCCCTTCCTCCATCTGCAGCCGAATCTCTCGCCGGAGACGGGAGTGAAAGAACACGGATGATGTGGACAACAGTAAACACCTTGGTTCGTGTGTTTGAGTGACCAAAGCGAACGAAAGCACTACAGCATTGGCTTACGTACCATTCAGACCACTCTCCAACCGCCGTCTCGAGCATTGATCACTGATCTCTGACAAGCCACCGGGAAAATCATGAAGCTGGAACACAACATGTAGAAGAAATTCTGCACCAATCGCTACAGCTTGCAAATACACTGTACTTCGCGCTCCCAGGTGTAGGCTATAGCTATTCCTTGAAGAGTATATAATTGCTGTAAGGCATCCCTAACAGACCTTGACGTGCCGTGCAGGGGGTCGCAGCCTCAAACCCCACAAGAAGGAGCGAAGCCGAGCAAAGATTCCTGGTCTCAACCGGATCTAGGATCCACTCAAGTTCTCAAAGATGATCCGCACAAGAGGAAAAACCAAGCAGCAAATCTAAAAACCTAAGAGACATGCCTCAGGACATGTACATGTCATGTGTTTAAAATCAAAATATACATAGGACACCATATACATAGGACGACCAACATGTTGTTACATCCGATCCCACCAGCCGTGCTGTGGATGGCACCTCTTTCTCGCACCTCTTTCTCCGTCTTCGAGCTCTTTGCGCACCAGATTCCACTCCAGGTAACTGAGATCGTTCCAAAAGAAGTGACTTCAAAAATTCTCGTGTTCCGAGTTACAAGTGTCCGCAATTCCGCTCCATCGAACCACCCGACATTCCCAGTTCCGCTCCCGTCCCCCCATCGAAACACGACGCTCGAAAAACACTCGTTGGATCCTCGCGGCGCGCTGGAGATGGTGATGGCCGTGACCATGAGCCCCACATTGTGCTCCTGCCACTGAGCACTGGCACCTGGTCGCGACGCGACACGAGGGACGTCCAGCGTTCCGGTCGGGTCTGGGAGGAGGAGCCGGAGTTTGGGGTGGAGAAACACCGGTTCGAAAGCTGGGAAAAGGTCGGTTCGAATCGTTGAGTGACCGGAACATCTTCTTCTACTCTAACTGTATGATACCCTGACGATCCATGACCACACATAGGTCACAAATAGAAATGATCTCAGGATATGCATACGTTTCTATTGATCGTGTTATTCGAAGACATTGTCGAATCACAGATTGGGGTACCTGAAATGTAAATACAATTCCAGTATCATTGTCGGGGGATAAGACCATGAAATCCCAAGAACCAAGCATACCAGGGCGTGACGAACCGTGACAGACCGTGATTGGTCTATTTTGTCCCTTTAAAAATGAGGTCATTGTCGGACTCCAGCGTGACAACCCGGGACGAATTTGAATTTGGGATCGTTGGTTTTGTGGTTTTTGGGTTCTGGTATGATCTCGTTTTTTGAGGTCGGACCTCACAGGGTGAGGTCGGAGAGCCCCAGAAGACACAACCCCAAATGTTAGCATATAGAGCTAACTTTCGATCCTCAGGGATATGTACGGTCTGGAAGTACCCCAAGAATCCCCCAAACGAGATGTCGCCCAAGTCCCTTCGCCGAGGAGCTCAGCAAGCCTAAGCAGCTGGTGGTTCCGATGACCAAGAGCCACTGAGCAAAGGAGTCCCTGGAAGAGGGCTCCACCTCTTCGGCGGGTCAGAGCGGGCTCCAGGCTGCGAGACCCAGTCGCGACCCGTCTGGGCGATCATCAGTTTATACCAGGACGGCCCTTCCGGTCGCCGGGTATTTCTCTTGTTATGAGGCTATTTATTAGACACCTCGAACGGAAGGTCCTGGTAGTCATGTTCAAGTGGAAGAGGTGGATGATAACTTATATAATAAATAGATGCGTAGCTTCATTCAAGCTTTCGGTTGGTGATTTGGATGACGATGTCTGGTATCGCCGCAGTGTTTTCAGACACGTTTGTCATTCTGAGGCGCCCCCGCACAAGCCCAAACCAATCACCCAGTCACAAAACCCAAGTCGACACGTCACAAACATGTCATTAACTGGTCCATTAGATTTCCCCTCGTCTACCCAGGGTCAAAGGGTCTGGGGATAGAGCTGCCTGTGTGCATCTCAGAACCTCCCAAATTTGAATACATCGAGTTGCCCCAATCAAAAGGAACTGTGTCCACTTCTTTGTCTACTCCATGATTCCATGATCCTCCAAAAAACGTACCCTTCGATTTCGAGGTGCATTTTACACCTTCCTCATGCGGCAGGCCCAGCGGCCAAGCTCCCTTAACACTCAGCTGGCACAACTCCCAACTTCGGATTGGCACCACTCCCACTCTTCGATGGGATGAAATCTGCTCGTCGGAAAAAAACAAAAAATGCGCTTGTCTGAACTGTCCTTAAGTACTGTCGGCTTCGGTCAAGTCCAGGTAGAGAGAGGTACTCTGCCCGCTCTGGTTTGTGGGGTCAGGAGCTCCTTTTACCCACAAACAGTACTCTGCGGATCGAGGGCGGCCAAAGCAAGTGGGTGTTCATCTCCTGCCCTTCAACTGGGTTTCAGCCGACAAGGCTACGAACCCCTTCTAACTCAGCCGGCCTTCTTCCAATATCCGAACGTGCTACTTGTCCGGCTCGTCTGAGTGCTATGTCCTCAAAAGGAGTCCCGCCGTGCAGTAGTGAGATCGTCGCTTTCGCACGTGGAAGTGACGGGAGTGTTCCGGATGAAATGGTATGAATGACTAGCTGTCGGCTGCAGTGATATGGGGAAGCACCCATAGCCATAGACATCAACCAGCGAACAGGGGTGGAAGCCATCGCTTCTAGGTTGGAGGCCATCGCTCTTAGGTTGGATCCTAGGGTTTGCCAATTGGATCCAATTGGCCGAATTGGACCTTCTGTGCCAGGCAAAAGCATCACCAGTTGGAAGCATACAGAACCGCCCGAATCCACCCGGTGGAACGCGAAGGCTGCCAAGCATCTGCTCGTTCTCTTTGATTGAGAGGGCCGCCTTAACAGGTGAAATGGGTCACGTGCATCTCTGAATATCTCCAACATTCCTGTGTCTTGGTCTTGTACTTCTTGCTTTGTGACAGCCTGCATCTTGCAACACTCCAGACAGGAAGTCTTGCAAAGCACAAAGCACGGGCTGAAAAGCTGGCATCTTCCTCCGATTGGTCGACCCCAGACCAGTAGGTTACACCCAAACTGGGGACCGGACATTGGTTGGTGCTCGACGCGCTGTTGCGCCGAGCCGAGCATGGAGCATCATTTTAAAGTTATAATTAGATATGTAATCATCAATAAATCAATAAACGTCAATAACATGTACGACATGTATATAATATCATTTAAAATTCATTTCATTTAACATTAAAAAAATCAAATATCATCAATGAACATGGAACATCTCTCTCTGTCTGACCGAGGCCGCTACACAGCTGGGATCACAGCGTCCGACGGCAGTGGTGCAACCCTCATGCTGCGAGCATCGCCCGCGGCACGCCCGGCCACACAGGCGTGGCGCGTCCGCCGGGTTGAGGGACCGATGACCGATTTGGATCCGTTCGAGGATGTTCGAGGTAAGGAACTTGGACTGGTGGCTGTCGGGGGGCGACTTCGACTGAAGGAAGTTGAAGATTCTCTCTACTTTTGAGGGAGTTCATCAAACTGCGTCATGAATTCCAGGAGATTGTCTGACATGATGCGCTGTTTGTTTGGGCTGGATGGCTGTTTGTTTTTGTGTTGAAGATCCTTTCCACATGAAGTGCTAAGAACATCTGGTCTGCTCCATGTTGGGCACCCCTTGTCGCTGCCAAGGCGCCAACGATTCGCTGCTCACTTGAGCCAACTGAACAAAAAGCATAGTGGCCCGGGCACAGACCATGAGGCCATTTGGCAGGCCATGAAAGTCTCACGGTTCGAAGGCTAATGCAAGAAGAGCGTATTTCATAGTTGTCGGTAAAAGTACTCAAAGTGCTGGAATCCACCCTTCTGTTCATTTGACGGTTCAATAAACAACATTCAAACCAGGCAGTCGAATTCCTTCAAAACAGTTGGATGGCTCCCGGGCAACCAACATCAAATTCCTTTCATGTGGATGACTTCTTTTCTTGCTTGATGTCTGTCCACTCGCGTGAAGTTGGCCAACCGGGCTCCTGGTTCTCTACCCCCGCAGACATGGCACCTCGTCCCAATCCTCATCGATGTCCTCGTCTTCCTGAGAACATCTCGAAACCGGCGGAACAGATCGGAACGAGATATACTGGCCAAAGGGGAAAGGCGGCCACCAGGTACCGTGATGCCGGAGGATGGTCAAATGTGGATCCGCCGGACCCCCGGAGAAAGGAGAACTGCAGAAATGCAGAAACGCAGCCGCACCTGCGACAAGATCTACAAATCATATTAAATCATTCTTGACTGGAGGTGTCCTCTACTTATGCAATAGCTTCAGACTAGGCAGCTCCAACTCTGATCCTATGGGCCCGCCCGAAGTTGTCCACCCATTAACAACACATGACTGAAAGCGCGATGGCAGAGTGCAAATATATCTAGTCACCTTAGTGACTGTAGAAAGATGGCAGCATGATGCAAAATCACCTTGGGCGACTGCAGTCATTCTTACAAACCGGCATGCTCCATTTCCCTGTTTGTTTGAAAAAATATACCAATACAGTACTACCTCACCTGTTGTGCGAATTGGTTTGTCATCAGGTTCTTTTGAAGGAACACTCGACCTTGTCTCCCTAACTGGCCAAGCGGGCGGACGGTTCAACAGGCCAAATTTTGAGGCAGGTCCGTTCTTTATCTTCAATAATCATCACATGGTTCTCACCACCCATGGTTTAAACATGTTTAAACAGCAAAGACATGTTCAGTTCGACTATGTATTATAGCCGTTGGACGGCTATAAGGACCTCGAGTTGAATTGAGACTCTTGAGACCCATTTCTTTCTTAGACTGATTGGGGAACAAGAGGAGGACACATCATCCATCAAGTGACAGTTGGCTCTCCAGCCTCCTCTTCACCATCTGTATCCTTGAAGTCTCCCTCCTGTGGCGCGTGACAAATAGGGGCGAGCGCATGACTGGGCCAGCCTACAAAGGTCCCCTGCCGCCCTCAGCCTACCCAGGCATACAAGTATAAATAGTTAAGCTTCATTCGAGTTGCACGAACACGAGCTATATAGAGTTGTGGTATCACGCAGGGAATCATGAAGAGAAGCCTCCTCAACTGCTTCGGCGGCTTCCATTTCAACCGCATCAGCCTGACGTCAGTTTGCGTCAGCTATACTTGGCACATCTTGCCACCATGTCCCACTGCTCCATGACATGAGCAAGGTAAAAACATCTGCTCTGGCGCTACACAAGAACTCGTTGAAGCAATAGGGTCGCTGTATAAAGAACAACACGGCAAGCCGCAGGGTGAGTTCAAGTCTCGTTCAGACAGTCAATGCTTCAGGATCCCCATTTCTATCGCGGGAGACTCCTCAACTGCTTCGATGTCGACCGCGTCAGCCTGGCGAAGTGTGTCAGCTAAGCTCCAGTCGCACAATGAGCGCCAATAACGTTGCTAGAGCCTACGGCCTATCGCTTTCCAGGCCACAGCAGCAGCTGAAAGTTCAACACGGTGACTATGTGTGTACTTTGGTGATTGGTGTATGTTTTTGTATGTCTTTTGTTGTATGAGCTTCGTGTTTTTCTCCACACACAGTACTCCTGCCTGCACAAAATTGAAAAGCAGGGTGTCATCGATTCTCTACCAGACTTGTCATCTAGAAAAGTTTTTCCCTAGTCGCCCATTCTGACTCCTAATACAATCATGATGCGAAGACAGACTTACTGTTAAAACTCCTTGGGGCAACTGGCACACTGGGTCACAGTTATTCAACATTGAAACATCCTTCTCACATCCAGTTGCGCACAAAGGAGCCCAAAAGACTTGCACTAGTTAGGCGTGCATGTTTTGATCGCCTCCTCTGCTTCAGTTTCTGCAGCAGCCTCACATCCAACTTTGTGCCAACAACTCTTGGCCAACAACATCCACGTGAAGAATCTCTCATGTGTGCATTCGTACCCCTGTTGATTTACCAAGAAAAGTTTCAGGCACCAACCGGCTTTACAGTATCACTTCAGGGTTGAAACCGCGGCATGCGGATGAAAAAGGGCACAATGGACACACATTCCACACAGGTGCAGACTAGACGAATGATCACAGTCGCACTCGTTTTCAGGCCACACATCTCAACGTCGCCTGCTCCGCTGCTTCGTGTTCATCCGCGGCCGAAGCCTGACCGGCAAGCACTATGCTATGTCTTACTTGCTTGGCGTCTGAGTCAAATGATCGAAGCACGAAGCGTTGAAGGGACAGCAAACTGCGCAACAACGATTTGGCAATCCCAACAGCATCTGTGTCACAACAGCCTTTTTGGAGTTACAAAAATCGATCACAGTTGCACCAAGTAAACAATGCACCTCAACAGCTGACTCCTCAGCAGCTTCGGCAGCACCACTGTCAGCCTAAAATAAAGTCGTGCTAACCACACAGCGCAACGCACTCTCTATAAATAAATGAATACTGAATTAGTCAAAGTGGTCAGCAATCTGCAAGGGAACACCTCCGCCATACAACAGTCACAACAGTGAATCCGAAATCCAGAACGGACATTGAACCGCAGTTGCACCAATCAATCCAGCGCCTCCGCGGGAGTCTCTTCAACCAATGTGGCT